AGACAAATGCAGTCATCTTATTCCTTTCCATTTTGTTATTTCAAAAATGTAGCCAGCTTTGCAAAGATGTGTGTATAGTTGCATTCAGGGGAGACAGGGTGCTTGACAGCAGTCTGTATATGCAATAGTAATAACTTGTTATTAAAGACAAGATTTTTTAAAGCTTAATATTTGGAATTTTAGAAGTTTGTTAAGCATTAAATGCACATTTACCTCACTCTTTTTTAAGCCTATCATAAAAACAATCCCTTATACACACCCACATAAAGGAAATAGTAATGTCAGTTTTTTCCCAAGAACATAATTTTATAGTTACTGAAGTATAATATAGTAAGATTAATTTTTATTGGTTTCTTTACATTCCCTGGGGTTGGTTTGGAAACATAACAGCGTCTAGATTTATTTCCAACTTTGCTATAGATGGATAGCTTCATCTACAGGAAGGGAAGGACTTTTTTCTTCCTTTTGAAGAGGATCCATTCTGTTGTTTCTCATGGAATTATGCTTCTTTCCATGGAGAGCAGATTATGAAAATGTTTGATGAACACGTATGGAGCATAGAAATTAGGATTGTTTCATCTGTCCTACTTCCATAGTAGTACTTCTAAGAGGACCTCTCGAAGCATGTGGAAGTTGTATGTCCTGCACATAGCCCAGCAAAAAAAGTTGGACTATTAGGGCCTGGTTGGGAAAGGTGTTTATTCCTCTATTTTTAAATTTTGTATTTTTATTTCTTTTTATTAGGGGTTGACAAAGTACAACCTCTAGGCCTATATGGCCCACAAGCCACAACTGATTTTCACATTTTTAAGTGGGTTAAAAACAGTCAAAAGAAGGATAATTTTGTGACACATGAACGTTTTTTGAAATTTAAATGTCAGTGTCCGTAAAGAAAGCTTTATTAGAATATAATTAGACCCATTTGTTCACATGTTGGCATGGTTGCTTTCTAGCTACAACTGCAGAGTGGAGTAATTGCAATAGAGATTGTGTGGTCCATAAAGCCTAAAAATATTTACCATCTGGCCCTTTTACAGAAAAGTTTGCCAACAGTTGCCCTATTTTACTCACATAAAAGTAGTTATTTATAGCAAACAGGTTTTTAAAAAAATACCCTGCTTTTGTTTATAAATGTAACGTCAGAGTAAGTACCCTAGTGACTCTTTTAGTTGTAGCATTCTTTTGATTTTGCTATAATCTCATTTTTCTCTTCTACTTTAAATGCTCTGGGGATAAAAATTTAATTTTTTTACATTCTGTTCTTGAGCTGATCTGTATTAGTCTGAGTTCTATAGAAAAATAGAGCCAATTATATATGTGTGTGTATATATAGATACAGCTCTAGATATATAGGCATATGTTCTTTATACATATGGAGATAGCTTTATTTGTATACAGGTATATGATTTGTGTGTGTGTGTGTGTGTATACATATATATGTGTATGTTTGTTATAAGGGATTGCCTCATGAGGTTATGAAAGGTGGGAAGTCCAAGATCTGACAAGCTGGCAAGCTCTGACAGTCCAGGAGAATGAATGGTATAGTCTGGTCTGAGTCTGAAGGCGTTGTCTCAGTTTAAAGATATGCAAAGAAGGCGAATTCTCCCTTACTTATTAGAATCCCTTATTAGAATCATGGGAACTTTCTAAGTTGGTTCAGTTAAAATTGTCATTTGTCCAGCACTGAGTTGAAGTTGGATTGAATGGAATGATAGTTTCTTTATTTGTAGAGGATAACTTGTATTTTCCTCTGGTTTAATTAAATGCTGTTTGTTAAGTATGTACGTCAAAGGGTGTATTTGTACGTTTCATTTTCTTGTGTCATTTCCATTTCGAGCAGGGGTTCTAATACACAAGCTTAGTCATTTTGACATACTGTTAAATTGCTGGAGTGGATAGTCTGCAGCAATTCCCAAAGCAGTTTGCAAAAGCCAAGTTGATTGGCATGACATTTTGTCAACAAGCCTCTTATATTAGAGTGTGTCAGCGAACAGATGGAGTGAAAAGGAAGTGGATTTGTTTGTAGTGTGAGCTTCTTACTTACCCTTCATGTGACCCTAGAGAAATCCCCTGATCTCATCTATCCTGCTGTTTTAATACCCCCAGCAACTAGAGGCAGGTGGGAAGATTACATAAAATAAGGATGTGTGTGAATTGCACTGACATAAAAGTATGTATTCATACTTGGTTTATGTTAACTGGCAAGACATGCCCCTCCTGGTAAATAATTTTTTTATGACTAATTTTATCAGTATCGAATGATGTTTCTGTGGTATAAGTGATTTAGTCCACTTCTCAAGGAAATAATGGAAGTATCACTTGGCCTTCAATTTCACTCTGTTGTTCCTGAAGTTAATTGATTCTGGAACAATGACTCCTTATTCACATAGTAGCTTGATTTCTACCTGAGTAACAAAACTTCACCAAATTAGAGTAGATAGTGGGGCCAAAGGAATGTTTAAATTGTAAACCATGTAAAGAAGTTTAGTACGTCCCCCCTGAGGCCCTAGTTCAGGCGTTCTTTCCAGCTTAGTGTTTCATTGCCCAGGGGCATCGTGGTGGCTGTCCTTGCTGTTGAATCTTAGGTGATTATGAACCTTACATATTAGCAACTGGATTTGGTTCAGTGACATATATTTATCAAAAACACTAAAACAAATTTTGGCCTATGTAACACATTTTGGAGCAAATGTATAGATGTACTATCCAAGTTGAGTTTTGGGTTGTTTTTTTTTTTCCCATCCTAAAAATATCCTTCTATGACTCATTTTCTGGTTTGGGTAAGTGGCTCTAATATCTATATTTCTACCTTTTAATGAACATACTTATATATAAGCCCTTTCACCTGTTGCCTCTAGATTTAGAGTTCTGAATTTCTAGCAAAGGCCTTTTTCTCCCTTTACTGTTGTGTTCCTTTTCTCTGGACCTGTTCAATCCTTTTTAAATTATTGATGGTTTTCAGCCCAAAATTTCCATTAAGTTTTTGCTTCCCTCCTCCCTATAAGATTATTGTATGTAAATATTTTCTTTGCTTTTACATATCCCCTCTAAGAAGACAAATAGGAATGATTTAAAATTAGCACATTATCATCATACATAGATGCTCCTTGATTTGCTCTCAAATATGTTCAATACTCCTATGCTGATTTAGGTTCTTCAATCATTAATTTGCTCTTAAGGAAATTAATTGCGGCATGTTATGACTGAGATTTAATTTGATGAGATTTTAATTTAGAAATTTTACTAAATGTGAATTATCTGAGAAATTTTAACTGAGAACAGTTGTATTCAGCTAGACAATCATCATTGCTTATATTGTGGTCTTAGGGATGAGTTTAGACCCAGGCTTGTTGGGAGATACAAATAGGTGGCGGGTACATGCAGCAGCCGCCATAAGGTGTGACTTGAGCAGACCATGGAAACAGTGAAACAGAACATAAAGTACCTGGTGTGTAACTTCTTATCACACTTTCAAAGAAATTTTCCTAGGTCACACTCAGATAAGAGTGAAGTTACTCTGGAATGTTAGCTGGCAGGAAAAGCATGTATGTGTTGTGAAAGCTGAGTTCAATTTTGCCAGAAGCCAACAGAGGATTTATAACCAGTTGGGGTTTTCATTTAAAAAGCTGAGGTTTTTTTTTTTCTGCTTTTATGTGATGGTTTGTGCATACTTCGGTACCTTGTTTCCTTTTAGTATTTTCCTAGCCTGTGGCTAAGTAGTTAAAATAGATATATAACATTGACTTTTTCTATTATGTGGAAGGTGTTCAGATAATTAACAAAGGAAATCAGTAAAGCACAACTCAGTTTAAGTGTCATTTTTTCTTTATGGTATGTTGTGCAGAAGAAAGAGAGCTAGCCTAAGAGCATTGGACTTCTGGGTGCTGTCCAGACTCCCCCGCCCCCCAGAGCCCCCTGGAAGCCCACCTGCCTAGTCCAGTGAATAAAAAAAGTGCACGTCTCACTTCTTTTCAGTGTCCTTCAGGGATGTGCCATTATTATTATTTTCTTGACACATTCTGTGAATTGCTAGGTCAGGCAACAATATTGAAACATAAATATCAAAATACAATCTAAAATAGAGAGAGATGTACTGCTGGCAAATGTGATTCATCCATCAAAATTTCCTTTTGAATTCCATTCCTTTACAATAGACTGAGTTGACTGTGGAAGCTCTCCAGCTAAACTTGAAGGTGGCTTTCTTATCAAACTTACTTATTTTTTCATTTTCTTTTCAAAATGTCACCTATCTTGAGTTATTTCTTAGGAGGAAAACACCCATGCACATACAGATTTTTTTTTCCAGCATCTGTTTCTTGTTGATATTACAGTAATATCAAAGAGCAGTTGATTCATTTGATTACTCTATCAATCATGATAATTGCTGGGATATTTACAATTGCAATTCTGTACTTCTTAACATATTATTTTACAAACTTAAATTGAAAAACATGAAGAGGTCCCTGGTATTGAAATAGGAAACCCTTGCTGTAAATGCTTATGGTAGTGGCACTTGAATTGTGTCATATCAAAACTGAAGCGGCATCGTGTACTGGAGTGAGCCAGCTGACCTAAATTCTAGCCCGATGTCTACAAATAATTTGTTCCACAACTGGATAAGCAGCATAACCTCTTTGGACATCATCTGCAAACTGAAGGTTTGGAGCTGAATATCAAAAGTTTCTTACAGATGCATAATCCATGAGAGTGAGAAGGCATTCTCTTCTATTCACAAGCTTGATAACACACTTTTAATCTTTGGTCATTCAGTTAGAGAGCTGAGAACACAGAAGGATAGGACAGACCTCCTTGAGGTCTTATGGTCCAGTGGAAGGAGACAGGCCCAGTGATGAGATTTTTTTTTTTTTTTAAATGCCAATGTTGGCATAGTACTTAGAAATGTCATAAAATTTACTAGTTTATATGCCCCATTTCAAACTCAATCTAAGGAGGAATGTTTGTTCTAGAGTTAATGATATTTGCTTTTTGTTTTGTTTTAGGAGCATATTAATGACAAGTGCCATAGACTGAAAAACCAAACATGAGGGTAGCAGGTAAGATATTTAATTTAGTAGAAGTAATTGTACTTTTTGTGTAACCTGTTTGTTAAAGAATGACTGAAGGAGATGTTAAATAATCTTTCTCCATATTGAGAAAGTTAAACTGAAATATAATAAACTAAATCATCCAGCCCTTCATTTTTAGGTAGTTGGCAAATCACAAATTGGACATTTAGTCAATACTACTTAAGTGTTTTGTTGTTGTTGTTCAAGTCTTTTGTTGAAATTACACGTTGAGCATCTTAAATCTGAAAATCTGAAATGCTCCTAAATCCAAAACTTTATGAGCAGCAAAACATGATGCTCAAAGGAAATGCTCGTTTGAGTATTTAGGGTTTCAGATTTTCAGATTTGGGATGTTCAACTGGTAAGTTTGATGCAAATATTCTGAAATCTGAAAAAAAAAAATCCATATGCTATATATAACGCCCGTATAAAGAATGGTTTGACAACCTAGGGAAACTGATTTTTGTTTTTGCTATGTTCTAGCTTCTTGAGAAAAATAAGTTATAAAGTTTTAAAGTTTAATTGTCTCTCATGTATGTACTTAAGATGTGTGTGAAGGATTCGATAAAATACATGTTTTTGCTCAGTATTTGTTCAAGTTTAATCTGCATAGGTGAAATTATGTGTAAGAACTTTAATCTGTTTATTAAGCAGCATATTGAGAAAATTGAAAAACACCATTAGATGTTCATGTATTAAGGTAGTTATATTTAAATATTCTAAAAAGATACATTTATAAATAACTGGAGGGGCTGATGACCTCTTCCTGTGTGTGTAGTAAAAATAAGTCTGTTTTTCACCACCCTTCCCATCAACCAAAGCCCTGGAAGAAATGCATACTTTACATGGAAATTTCTACTAAGCTTGTGCCCAACATAGGTAACTTGTAATTTCTCAAAATCAAGATAATTAATTTTTTTCTTAGTTATCATCTCACCAGCAAACCAATTATTTTCCTAAAGGAGCATCTCTTAGAAATGCCTAAAGTCAAGCTGGGTGAACAAACCAGTCTTCATACTGTGGTCATAATTGTGTAGAATCAGGTGCAATTGATTAAACATCATGATTATTAAACATAACTGAGGGCTGTTACAAATGCTTTTGTAGAAACTTGAAAAACTGAATCTCTTGTGAAATTATAAAGCATTTTTTAAAAAAGTAACTATAATTGTTGAAGAAAAATATTCTCAGAAACGAAGAGCTTGTTTGTGGTTTAAATGTGTTGCAATGTCTTTTTATGTCGTGTATGTGTGTGTGGGGGGGTTGTTGTTTGAGTACAGCAGGACTTACTGTTTATGATTTCATGTCTCCAGATGATTTTTAAAGTACATTAAGCATGGCAATTTGAAATAAAGTAACTGTTTCTCACATAATTTTAAATTCATGTTATTTGAAATTAAGTTTGTCATTTAGTCCGTTTCTCTGATTCTGACAATTCCCGAGTTAATTGATGAGTAATTATTCACTGAGTGCTTATTTTGTGTTTGGCACTGTTCCTAGTATAGGTCTTGAGGGAACTGCCTTGAATGAATGAATAAGGATAATTAGGTATTAGTTTATTGCTTTTAACTAATTAATCTCTTCTAATTTTTTTTTTTTTTTTAAATCTGATTGCTTTTAAATATCTTCATAGCCATTCTTCTTACAGTGAGGCATGAATGTCTGCAGTTTGTACTTTTTGGCCTGTGAAAAACTGGAACACACTCAGAATAGTGCCGTCTGTAACTAGGAGGAAGAGGGAATCTTATGGAAAACTAAGAATGGGAATTGTGGTTGGTATGGTTAGGCTCCATCAAGTCCAGAATGGGGTGCTGGTTCTGGACTCAGGCCAGCTTTGGGGGCCATCTCTATAACAGAAGTTCCAGAACTCTAACCCCATGGAGACTCTGCTAGTTTCTCCACCTCTAACTTTTGTCTCCCTTATAGCTTTTCTTTCCTCCTAGTTCCTCTGATGGTTCAGTATAAGTGAATAGGTCTTGGTTTAAGACTTAGTGTTGCTGCTGACTAGTTATGTGACCTTAGGCAAATGATGTAAAATTTTAGCCCTGTTTTCCTTATTTGTGAAAGGAAAATAATGCCTTGAAACGCTATGCAAATGAGATTATACTTATAAAGCAATTAGTTCTACAGAAGACACTAAACGGTGTATGTGAGTATTTTATATATATATATAAAATGTTCGTATATAGCTTTTTTAAAACTTTTAGGCTCAAGGATACATGTACAGGTTTGTTATCTAGCTAAAATAAATTGAGTGTCACAGGGATTTGGTGTACAGATTATTTCATCATCCAGGTAGTAAGCATAGTACCTGATAGGTAGTTTTTTGATCTTATCCTCTTCCCACCCTTCACCCTCAAGTAGTCCCCAGAGTCTATTGTTCCCTTCTTTATGTTTATATGTTCCTTTCTCAGTGTTTAGCTTTTGCTTATAAATGAGAACATGCGCTATTTGGTTTTCTGTTCCTGTGTTAGTTTGTTTAGTGTAATGACCTCCAGCTTCATCCATGCTGCTGTATATAGCTTTTTTTCATGTAAGCTTACATTTAGCTTGGTGTAGAATTTAGAATGTTTGTGTTATCATCTTGGTACTTTAATTTTTCAGTTTTGAACAATGAAGTGATCATATGATTGTTTTATGGAACAGGGAAAAGTTATCTCTGGTTGCATGTGCCTATGATTGCTAGAAAATAAGATGTTAAGACTGTCATGTGACATGTAATTTTTGAGCTCTTGGTCTTAGTCTTAAATGATCAAGAAGGACTATGCCACCTGTTACCATTTATCTACTAGCAAACAGTTGTTGATAGCGTTACTGTATACAGTGCACTCTGCTAGATCCTGGGGAGAAGAGTTCAAAGCCTAACAGAATTTTGCTCTCTTATACACTAAAAATATAGGCAACTTGTAAGTTGCTCTTGAAAATAGGAAGCAGATTTTGGAGGGGACAAGGTAGGAAATGGAAAAGGGAGGCAGGGATTGACTAGTATTATAGTTAGACTTCCTCATTGCTCTTTCATTTCTACATTAATAGTGCCGCTTTTGGATTTTTTAAGACTTTATTATTTTTAGAGCAGTTTTAGGTTCACAGCTAATTTGAGAGGAAGACGCAGAGATTTTCTACATGCTCCCTGCCCCACTCCCCACATAGTCATCAGTAGAGTGTTTCTAAACAGAAATGAGTAGGCTGTGAGAAGCGGTGGCTTTCTGAGCATCATAACTTCATTGAAGAGTCTGCCCACTTGGAGCTTTCCGTGTAACCGTGTTATGAAGCATATGTAATAGGTACCAAATTATATCCTGCAGGAATGGAGAAGGCCTGTCTTAAGGTACTAAAGTGTTAAGTATGAAGAGGAAGGCTTTGTTGATCACCATACCAGGAGGGCCTACGTAGCTCCAGGAAATGTGTTGGTTAGTGATAGGACAATAAATCTGTAACATGTCACTCGAGAATTCCTTGCTTAGTGGACATTGTGGCCTTAGCATCCCCAGAAGGTCCACTGTTTTTGAAAAATCCTATATAGTATTGCTCCTTATTTTTGTGAAGGATAAGGAATCTGCCATTCAACAAACTTGGTGGTGGTCCATTAGTCATGACACGTTTTTGTTGTCAGCAACTGGTAGGTAATTTTTTTGCATGTAAAACTAGGCAGATGGTTCAAGCAGTCCTTTGTCTAGATAGCTAGAAAATCTGAGAAATCTTTAGTCAGGAAAATTCTTTATCTTGATGAATTGTTTGTATAATTTTTGTGTATCTCATGTAAAATTAAGATCTAATAGATACAAAGTAGAAATTTATTAACCTTAAAAAAATTTATAAACATTTTTCATAGAAATGCAGAATAAAAGTTCTGTGGACTTACAAAGTTATGCTGAAATATTTCTGCCTTTTAGGTGCTGCAAAATTGGTGGTAGCTGTGGCAGTGTTTTTACTGACATTTTATGTTATTTCTCAAGTATTTGAAATAAAAATGGATGCAAGTTTAGGAAATCTATTTGGTAAGTTTTATTTGGTTGCTTTCTTAAATCTTATTTTTGATGTGGCCTGAAGTTTTATCACTTATCAGCACTGAGTCACTCAGTGCTAGAAAAGGAAATGTAATTGTTACATATCCATAAATGTGATTTGTTAGAATATTTTACAGTATATAATGAGATATCTTGGAATTAATTTAGTATAAAACATGAATCTTCTTTCTATTCAACATTTTGAATGTATGTAATGAGTCTATTTTACACATTTTTAGGGGCATTAATCATGGCATTCTAAGTACACATTCTAAAACATAAAATACCTCCAGGCTTAAATTGTTTTCCTGTTTGAGTTGGCTGCTAGAAAACTTGAAGCCAAATCTAGCCCTCAGCTAACCATATGATTAGGAGTCACAGTAATGCATTTTAGATACCAGCCATAGAAATCCATCTTACAGCTGGCTGTGGTGGCTTGCACCTGTAATTCCAGCTATTCGGGAGGCTAAGGTGGGAGGATCACTTGAGCCCAGGGGTTCCAGGCTGCAGTGAGCTATGATCATGCCACACTGCAATCCAGCCTGGGTGACAGAGTAAAACCTCATCTCTTAAAAAAAAAAAAGAAAGAAATCCGTGGTGCTTTCTTACCCTTATTTTCCCTCTGTGGCATTTTTTTTCTAACCCACTCATTTAATGTTGCCATACTATAAATGTACCGTTATAAGGTACCTTAACCCAGTTTTTTAACAGAATCCTTACATTCATAAAATAACATTTGAAATGTTTTCAGATGAACCAGTTATACATAGTGCTATTGTAGAAGATTGTGTGTATCTTATTAAATCTCAAATAATTGCCAAGTATGCATTTCTTTTCTATAAATATACCATTATGAAACTGAACAATAGAATTTAATTTTGACATATTAAAGTGGAAAACAATTATTTAACCAAGGCGCTACATAAGATTACAGTCATGCGTCACCTAATATGGGGATACATTCTAAAAAATGCATCATTAGGTGATTTTTGTCACTGTGAGAACATCATAGAGTATACTTACACAAATCTAGATGGTATAGACTACCGCACACCTTGGCTACATTGTATAACCTGTTCCTCGTAGGCTACAAACCTGTACAGCATGTTACTGTACGGAATTCTGTAGGCAGTTGAACACAATGGTAAGTATGTATCTGAACTTGGAAAAGGTACAGTAAAAAGGCAGTACTATAATCTGATGGCACTACCACTCTTTGTATGGTCTGTCGTTGACTGAAATGTCATTAGGCAGCACCTGACTATAATTCTGAATCTCTTCTGGAAACTGTTTTTGTAGACTTTTATTATTGAAGCTAGGGAAACCATGAGATTCTTCATAGATCCTTGTACCTACATTGAGTAAACTATGACTAAATTGTTGCTTATAATATTAAATAATTAAGCATGAAAAGTGAGACTGTAAACCCTAGAAACCATATTTTGATCTAGTAGGCAGAAGTCAAATGAAAGAACTGAGATCTCTGGACTACTGATTTTTGCTTTCCATAAATTCATATTTGAAAAGAAAAATCCCCAAGACTTAATTCAGTTTCCGTATTAGGTTCTCATGCTGCTGTGAAGAAATACGCCAGACTAGGTTATTTATAAAGGAAAGAGGTTTAATTGTCTGACAGTTCTGCAGGGCTGGGGAGGCCTCAGGAAACTTACAATCATGGCAGAAGGGTAGCAAACATGTTGTTATTGGTGGCGGAAAGGAGAAGTGCAGAGTGAAGCAAGGGGAAAGTCCCTTATAAAACCATCAGATCCTGTGAGAACTCACTATTGTGAGAATAGCATGGAGGTAATTTCCCCCAGGATTCAATTATCTCCCACCAGGTCCCTCCCATGATACATAGGGATTATGGGAACTACATTTCAAGATGAGATTTGGTGGGGACACACCCAAACCATATCACTCCCTTTCACATTTAATCTCAAGACTGTTATTCCAGTTTTTCTCAAACTTTAATTCCACAAGAATCTCCAGAGAATCTTGGTAAATGCAGGTTTCTGAGTTGGTGTCTGGAGTGGGGCCTGAGATTCTGCACTTCTGACAGCTCCAACGTGATGTTGAGATCCCTATCCATGGATTGCATACTGAGTATCAAGGCTTTGGCCAATTCTGATATGTAGTCTTCAGTTTTGGCATAAACCTTTTCAGGTGACTTTTCTTACAGAACTCCTTAAAAGTACTCTCTTGTGCAGGTTGAACATCCCTAATCAGAAAATTCAAAATCTGAAATGCTCTAGAATCTGAAACTTTTTGAACATCAACATGACACTCAAAAGAAAATGCTCTTTGGAGCAGTTTAGATTTCAGATTTTTGGATTAGAGATGCTCAACTGGTAAGTATGATGCAAATATTCTAAAATCTGAAAAAATCCCATATCCAAAATACTTCTGGTCCTAAGCATTTTGGATAAGGGATACTTAACCTATATTGCACTGAATTCTGCCTTTTGTACTCCCAAGTAATTTCAGTTCACTGATCTTGTCTCTGCCAGCTAGAGCCCCTTCTTCATCAGTGATCCCTCAGTTACATCGTAGTCATTGTCTGCCAGACCTTCCTTTACAAGTTTTCATCCTTTCCAGTAATGGAATCCTCCCTTTCAGCCATTTCTCTTGATAAACTGGTTATTTTCCTCCTAAACTTGTTTGTTTTTCAGCACACATCCTAAAATGAAGCATCCAGGTTCCAGCGTAAAAGTAGTTATTGCAAAATATAGTGAGATATTACTTTACTTGTTCTGGTCTGTGTACTTGTATTACTACATAGTGGCCAGCCTGGTGGCCTTTGAGAGCACATCTGGTTTCAATTGAGTGATGGTGTGGAAACCATATCGAAGGCACAGAGGACTTGTTCCATGTGGCTTTGGAAGCAGTGTGGATAGTTAATTCTTCTAAGACATGTTGATGGTAAGAGAAGAAGCTTATGAGATGGTAGTCTGACTCAAAAGCAGGTTGCACGTATTTTTCTTTTTTAGAGTAATAGGCTTTCACTTGTCTATAGGCCTTGGGTGAAAGTTCAGTGAAGGACAAATGAACACCAAGAGACTGAACCAGCAAGGAAAGGAGGATGTTTGGGAGAAGGGAGGCAGTGGGACCATTGGAACAAATAGAAGTTACATGGGAAAAGACCCCCTGTTTTTAGAAGATTGAAGAGAAGGCTGGGTGAAGCTACAGTGTGGTATATTCACTGTGCACATGCAGCTGGTGGTTCCTCTCCGGTGATACCAGTCATGTCTGTCCTCATCCTTTGTCCCCCATCTTTGGCCCCGTTTGGATCTTCATCTCTAATCTGGACTGTTTTTATGAACATCATAATGATGTTCCTATGTCTTTTCTCATCTCTGATATCTGCCTATCTCGCCACTTTCAGAGCCATTTTCCTAAAACTCAGCAATCTTTAGTATTTCCAGTTACTAGAGGATAAAGTCCAAACTCCTTACTTAGGGTGGCAACCAAATCCCCCAGCCTGCCTTTCTCAGCTGTTCTTCACCCCTCCTTCCTGCGTGGGTCACACTGTTGTGCCAGTCTGCATACAGCTTCAAATCCCCTCCTGTCCTTTCTACCCTGGCCTTTGCTCGTCCTGGTTCCTCACCCTGCACATCTTTCTCATTTTTTAGAACTTTGCATTAATTCCCCTTCTTTGGAATAAATTGTGTTTGAACCTCCCTCTTTAAGAATATATTGCTCCTTTTTTCTGAACATTTTTTCTAATTGCATAGTAGTTATATTTCAGTTTGGCACTGATTTTAATCTGCCTTGCATTATATAATTTTTTTTTTTTCTTTTTTTCCTCTTTTTCCTGTGCCTGTCTCCCTTCACCCAAGAGTGAGTCTTAAAGGCGATCTTTTGGTGCTTCACCCGGCATCTAGCACTGGATGCTGCAGATGGTAAATGCTGATTGAGTGAAAATAAATGTAGGTAACAGAGAATTAGGATTTCTACATGGAAAGGAATATTTCCAAAGTGGGATTCACATAAAGCTGTATTAGTTGGAAAATCACTGGTGGTCACCTGTGAACAGACGTTGAGCTACTTTAATCTCCTACTTTTTATTTTTTGATTTTTCCTGATGTTGAGAACCTGCAAGTGTTTTTGTGTGCATTTTAACTATTTGATTTAGACATTATTAGGGCAGATGGTTATTTTCATTTCAAAACTGAAGTGTAGTACTTTGTAACCTTACTAGTTGCCAATCTATTGAATTAGCCAAAATTTAACTGTGTGGTTTTATTTTAATTCTCATTTCAGACTATCTTAGGGATGATGGATATATGGTTATCTGTGTCATTTGTGTAGCATCTTAGTATATGAAAGGGTAACATGTTTAATCCAGTAGGAGGATTCTTGCTATAATCATTATCTTAAGGACCCATAAGATTAAAAACAGTTCTTTTGGTGATTAGTTTTCCATTTGATAACTTACTTGACAGTTCTATAAATTATGTAGATTTATGTTTATTGTATATATTATTTTAGAAAAATAAAACACATTTGTAGAAAGGAAGAATGACAGTTTTTCCCACAATTAGTAGTTGAAATTACTAGTGTCGATTATGAATTTTAAAAACAATTTTTTGTGAACCTTTATTTTAAGATAATTGTATTATCTTTTACAAATCCATTTGAATATACAGAGAGATGGTGCATACCGTTTACTCGTTTTCTCCCATTGGTAATATCTTACAAAACTATAATATACTGTCACAATCAGGACATCAACACGGATACAATTCACCAATCTTATTCAGATTGTGGGTTAATGTAGTGTTTGTTTTCAGTATGAATACTTAGCTAGTAAATGAACTGAATACAGTCCAAATTATTTTTGTCTATATTGCTGCAGTTAGTACTTAATGTTCTTTTTTTTTCTTTTTTTTTTTTGAGATGGAGTCTCACTCTGTTGCCCTTTATCTCTCTTCCCTATCCATCCTATATTCTTTACCCACAGAATGAAGTCTCACTCTGTGCAAACTGGAAGTCTGATAAGCTCTGGAGTCTTGTCACTCTGGCTTCTCCTCCCGGGTTCATGCCATTCTTCTGCCTCAGCCTCCTGGGTAGCTGGGACTGCAGGCACCCGCCACCACGGACTAATTTGTTTTGTATTTTTAGTAGAGATGGGGTTTCACTGTGTTAGTGGAGTCTCACTCTGTTGCCCAGGCTGGAGTGCAGTGGCGCAATCTCTGCTCACTGCAAGCTTCTCCTCCCGGGTTCATGCCATTCTTCTGCCTCAGCCTCCTGGGTAGCTGGGACTGCAGGCACCCGCCACCACGCCCGGCTAATTTGTTTTTGTATTTTTAGTAGAGATGGGGTTTCACTGTGTTAGCCAGGATGGTCTCGATCGCCTGAGCTCATGATCCGCCCTCCTCGGCCTCCCAGCGTGCTGGGATTACAGGCGTGAGCCACCATGCCTGGCCATAAGTACTTAATGTTCTATTGAATTTATTTTCACCTTTTCAGATTTAAACCATTGATATATAGTGTATACATAAATTACTTGAGACATTATTAAAAACTAAAGTACAAAATAGTTCTGATTCATTAGCCCGACTTACTGAAAGACATTCATTGATGAAATGCAATAACAAATGTTTATTATTGTTCCTTGCAGTTAAATGTATATGCAGAAAGAAATTAAGGATTAAAGCTATCAGTGTAGTTTGAGGGGAAAAAATTGTAGGATAGGAGGGATTTTGGTGTTTGTATGTTGTGCTTGTATTCTATACTTGGACAGCTGTTTATGAAAATTAATGTACCTGTTTGGCCACCGGATGCTAATATTTTCAGAATTGCAGACTTAGTACAGGGCTTTTGATTTTGATGTGTATTGGATAAAAATGAGCTTTCTTCTGGAAAGAAGTCTTTCACAGGAGTTTCTTCACCTTAAAGCATGTACTCTTCTTACTCTTACACAAATTAAATGGAGGTGATGTTATTTACTTAAAAGCGTGATGATTAAAAAACTGATTTTCTGAAATTGTATCCCAGTAAAGTTTTTTTTTTCCCCCAAACTGAGTGTAGATAAGGTTTGTTTTCTGCTTTGTTCTGGGCATTAAGCTTTTTCAATGTTTTATTACCTTTATGACTTTAATAGTGCATAATCTACTGAGTGTTCTATTGAGTTAATGAACTTTTATTTACTTGGTCATTTTCCTCTTTTTAAACATTTCAATACAGTCTTTTAACTTTCAGCTTACCAGTTTGAGTATTGGACCTACAGGAAATTCACAATTATCTAAAATAGTACAGAACTAAAACTGTGTGACTATTTATAGCAAGACAGCTGGTTAAGATTTATCACACTGCATACTTATTAGTCAAATCAGGAAATGGCTGTCCACGGTACTTTGATGATCTGAGTTATAATCTCTTGGGCTGGGATCAGATGTTAGTGCTTTTAAAAAGCCCTAACTATAATTATGATAGATGGTCAGGTTAAGAACTACTGCATTCAAGATAAGATTGACTTCATGGTTTCCTTGATCTGATAAGTTATAAATCTTTTAGTAGTGACCTTCCTCATCCCCCTCCCTGGCCCTCGCAATCTCCTGACCTCACCACTAAGATAGGTTCCTGTATATTCTCTGGGGCTTTTGCATATCTTCACAACACCATCCAGCAGCAACAACTTTTAAACACCATCGTATTCACCACATTTAAGTTCATAAACATTGAAAGGTAAGTTTGTAGAGTAACTTCCTGATTGAAATTTAAATTCATAGTAAATAAAATTCAAAATAAAATGGAAAGGGAAAAATAAAATGTTTCATCAGTAATAAAATACTACCCTCCATAATTATTTAATGGTTTATAATGAATGTACAGGGTGAAGTTACTTTCTCACTTTTTCTTAAGAAGTGATATTCATGTTTTATTGTATACTGAATGATTATTTGAACACTTATTTTTGTGTGCCTAAATATATTTTAAAAGTGGATACTTGCCAATAGGCTAATTCCTTCTAACAAAAGTAATTTTTTTTTCAGCAAGATCAGCATTGGACACAGCTGCACGTTGTAAGTATTTCATCTCAATTTTTTATGTATGATTTATTCTGCCTTAGGAATATGAGAGCTTATATTCAAAGTGTCAGTATTTCAGTGTGAGGAAAAACTGATTTAGAAGTGGCTTTTTAAAGTTACAAGGATGCCATTTGATTGGACAGCCCAAATATTTTTGGTAATTATTCATGATGGATATTTTGTGTTTCTCAGCTCCATTATTATAAGTACAGAAATTGGTGTGAGGAGTAAGAGACAATACTGTACATGGGCAGGTAGCCAATGGAACATTAGGCTCTTTGTAATGATCCTAGAGGTGATGATTTTTTGTGCATATATGGACTAGAAGTGCAAAGTAACATTCAGAACCTCCCACATCCTGACATTTAAAAATAAACTCACAGTTAGATAAAATATATTTACCCTAATGAAGTTCGTATTACTTGACCCATTTACGCCCATTATTAGTTTGTTTCCTAGGAAGTTCTGGTGTCTGTTGTGGGCTTTTTTGTTGCTGTTTTTTTTAAAAAAAAAAATTTGAGGTTCTTTGAAACCCTCAGGGGAAAAAATTAGCTTGTAATTTAATATATGTGTATTTTGATGTTTTACATAATGCCCTTTGTGGTTTGAGATTTGAAATAAAGTGTGAGAAAGTCTATTAATTTGTTTTCTTTAAAAAGAAATCATATTTTCTCCCCCAAAGCTACAAAGCCTCCCAGATATAAGTGTGGGATCTCAAAAGCTTGCCCTGAGAAACATTTTGCTTTTAAAATGGCAAGTGGAGCAGCCAACGTGGTGGGACCCAAAATCTGCCTGGAAGATAATGTGTAAGTATTTGGTGACTTGAGACTCTAAGGTATGCTATTAAATTACAGCCAGTTGAACCTGAGTTTAATGGATATTTTGAAAATGTATTAGGCATACTTTATTAATGGAAAGTGATTTCAGTTTTTATTATACAGTTTTTTTCTCATGAATTCAAGGGGCCTTAAAGTTCTTAAATTTTAATAACAGTTATTTGGCTTGATAGAGATAAGAGATTTCCTCTGAGTGAATTCTCTAGATCTGCACTGTTCCATTTACTAGCAACAAAACACAGGTGGCTATTTAATTTTGATCCTTAAATATTAGGAAGAAAGTTAATTCACTTAACTAAAAAGTTCAGTTCCTTGATATCCATCACCACATTTCAGGTGTTCAGTGGCCACATGTGGCTCACGGTCACCAAATGGAACAACAGAGAGAGCATTTTCATCATGGCAAAAATCCTGTTTGCAACATTAGCCTGGACAATGAATGCATTCTCTTATAAACCAACATCTTTCATTTAAAATATTTGAGTGCTGCTTGTTGAAGTGTGAAATGGCCTCAATTCCATTGCAGTACAAACTGCTTGCCTCTAAGCTGAATGGTTTCCTATGTTGAAATGCTTTCTAAAGGATGGTTTTTAGGATTTTTAGTATCCTACCTCAGTGTCAGCTGCTCCTTGCAAGTTCCTGCTGCTGAAATTGCAAACCCTACTTTTAGTTGGTTGCTTTTAATATGCTATTGCCTAGAAAACTAGACATGGGAGCTTGTTTAAACTTAATATAAAATAATAAATTTGTCACTAATTATATAGAATAAAGAGATAATTTTATAGCAGAGAGGAGACCTAGGCAGCTTCTCCTGGCTGTTTATGTGCCTCTTCTTTTAATATAGAAGCTCTTAAATTTTTATCCTAGCCTCCTTTGCAGGTAGTTAGCTGTAAGAAGTTTATTGAGCCTCATGGGACAACAGTTTTCTTGTAAAATTCAGGGCTTGAGCTAGATGATCTTTTAAGGTCTGTACTGATTTCCTTTATTTTCCCGTATTCTAATGATGATTTATTGTTAATCCATATGTCTTCTGGTTTCTCATTAGAATAGTCCTGTTTTACTGACATGTAATAAGGCACTTACATTTTAGAAGTTTGTAGGTTTTTGAAAACATTCTCATTTCCACTTTTTATCTTGTTTGGTTAAATAGACCCCAAATTTGATTCTAAGTAACAGAAACAAAGTTCTTTTAGAATACCTAACCCATAGATGACCTTGGACATCTATTCTGCCCCCTTGATGCATGTAAATTTTAGTTCAGAGAAGAAGAGATCAGACTATTTTCACTAGCAGGTTTTTAATTCACAGATTAAAACTGTAAACAACAAAACACACTCAGAAAAAAAGCTCAACTGTTTACTCACATGGCCTACAAGTTCCTATGTGTCCTGACCCTTATTCACTTCTCTCCAGATCTTCTTGATCTTGGGACCTTGGAGCATGCTTTTCTGTCTAGGATGGTCTTTCCTCACTCTTCACCTGGTTGTCTTCCTTCTTGTCCTTTGGTTCTCAGAGTACACTTCACTGTCTTAGAAACTATTCTCTATCCCTCAACCTAAAGTTGAACAGCTAAAGATCTAAGGTCGAAAAGAGAACAGTGTGTAGACAGTGGAGCTTGGTAAAATACATACTGGGCTTAGAGCCAGAGAATTTGTTTCTAGCATGGTGGGCATGTCATGTAGCATTTGTGTTTCAGTTTCTTTAACCATTAAATGAGGCAGGCCACCTATCCATCCTTATTTCAGGAACCATTCTGCCATTACCTTGAGAGATTAAATATTTGGTGGGATTTTATACCCAAGTCTCAGGTTAAAGTCCAAAGAAAGAGTCTTTAAGTTTTTTGAGAGTCATTTATTCACCTGTTCAGCAAGTATTTTTGAGCATAATCCCTCCTGTTATGGAACTTACAGTTTAGTAGGGGTGACAAATGTTTAACAAATATGTACTTATAAATTGTGACACCAGGCCAGTTGCGGTGGCTCACGCCTGTAATCCCAGCACTTTAGGAGGCCGAAGCGAGTGGATCACCTGAGGTCAGGAGTTTGAGACCAGCCTGGCCAACATGGTGAAACCCCATCTCTACTAAAATACAAAAATTAGCCAGGCATGGTGGCACATGCCTGTAATCCTAGCTACTCGGGAGGCTGAGGCACAAGAATCGCTTGAACCTGGGAGGTGGAGGTTGCAGTGCGCCAGGATCACACCACTGCACTCCAGCCTGGGCCACAGAGCGAGACTTTTTTTTTTTTTTTTTTTTTTTTTTTGAGACAAACAAACAAATTGTGACTCCAGCCCTTCAGGGCGGCAGGGTGTGATGAGTACTGGCAAGAGTGGATGGAAAGAGGTGTCCACCTTTGGTCGAGGGTTATGGAACTGTTTCCAAGACAGTGATGTGTATTCTGAGATCTGAGGGATAGAAAGGAAGACCATCCTAGACAGGAGGAAAGAGCCTGCTTGAAGGCCCTAAGATTGGGCAGCTCTGGAGAGAAGTGAATTAGGGCCAGGCTGCATAGGAACTTGTAGGCCATGCAGGTAAAGGGTTGAGACTTTTTTTCTGAGTGCATTGAGAGCTTGTGGAAGGATTTCAAATTCTGGCATGTCGTGATTTTATTTATGTTGAGAAAAGTTATCTGGCTACTGTGTAAAATAATTAAGGAAGTGGAATAGAGAGGACAGTTGGAAGGCCATTGTCAGTTACTGCCACAGCTCTTTGATACTGCCTCCCTATTGCTAACAGACTTTATTGCTTATACATTCACTAAAATACATAAGTAGATAATAAAAATAACATAGGCAGATAATTTAATATTTTCAGAGCACCTGCTCTGAGGACATGTAACTCATTTTGGAGACTGCTATTCTTGTGTCTCAATGGGGGCAGTTTTGTTCTCCAGGGGACATTGTAATTTTGGGTTGTCATAGCTTTGGAGGTACTCCTTGTAGAGGCCAGAGATGCTGTTAAACATCTTTCAGTGCAGAGGTCAGCTGGTCCACAAGAATTAACAGGCTCCTAAAATGAGAGGCCGGGTTTGAGAAACTCTGATACAGACACATGATAATTATGATTAGGATGGTGGTCATAAGTAGATTAAGTCAAAATATATTATGGAGATTAAGATGTGTTTTAAATGTCTCAGTTAGAAATAGAAAATCGCAGGTGTGAACCTAAGGTGTCAGGAGAAACAGTAATTGCAGCTTTTTTTTTTACTTTACTTTTTTTCTTTTCTTTTTTACCTAGAGACAGGGTCTCATTCTGTTGCCCAGGCTGGAGTACAGTGATGCAATCTTAGGTCACTGCAACTTTGAATGCCCGGACTCAAGCGATCTTCCCACCTCCACCTTCTGAGTAGCCGGGACTAAGGTGCACACCACCACACGCAGCTAATTTTTCTATTTTTGTGGAAACGGGGTCCCATTCTGTTGCCCAAGCTTGTCTTGAACTCTTGGGTTCAAGCAATCTTCCCACGTCCACCTCCCAGAGTGCTGGGATACAGGTTTTTTCTTTCTCGTTAGAGCACCCATAGAACTGACTTATGTTTCAATTATAATTTTCATCTAAGGCATATATTCATTTGATTTCAATTTGTATGAATTTGATGTTAGGAATAATTCATTACTTTTGATTTTAATGGTAATGTTTGCTGCAGGAATATGAGATTATTTTGAGGGTTTTCTTTTTTTCTTAACAAGGAATCGATGTTTTTGGCTATGAGGGCAAAGAGGTAAAATCAAGATTATTATATAGGTACTTATATAATCATTTAAAATGTAACCATTGAAAAATGTAAAAACTGTTCTAAGCTCATGAGTCGTAAAACAAAACAAATAAAAAAACCAGTTGGCGGGATTTGGCTCGTGAGCTATAGTTTGCCAAGCCCTACTTTAAACTAACCATCTTAAGAGATAGTAACTACAACATGGAGTAGCTATTTGAAACAAAACCATACTTGAAGATATCAATTATTTCTACAGATATTATAATCATTTCCTTTAGAATTTTGCCTGGAGATGTGGGGAGGGGCACCTTATATTCATGAAGGATAAAAGAAAATATCTCAACTTGTGTTAGTAAGGGTGACTAACCTTTATACATTTTAAATCTCAGTGGATTTTTTTATTTGTTAGAGATTTTCTGTTTGAATTTCAGTTTTTAAAAATTGATAAGCTGCTGCCCTCTTGTGGGAAGCCTATGTCATTGTGCTTCTTTGTTACCTTTATTTCTTTGCTTTATGGTAGATTTCAGTCTGTAAAATGCAACATCATACTCCTAGATGATCTTTACTTGGAAAAGTCACTCTGGCACTTAACCTGTTAATCGCAGCAGTTACTTCTTAATGATAGAGTTTACTTATTGAATGTATTTCTGAAGGAAACAGAACAATGCATTTTGAAACTTCTCTTTGGTGCAGCTGAGCCAATAGTTAAGTAATGAAGCATAGAACTTTTTAAATGTATGTGCTCCTAACTAGTGCTTTTAAACAGCTTTGAGATATAATTCACATGCCGTCCATTTCACTGATTTATGTTATACACTCAGTGGCTTTGTATATTCACAGATATATGCAATCTCTGCCACAGTCAATTTTAGAACATTTTTATACCTCAGAAAGAAACTCTGTACCCCTTAGCTAATACCCTTCTATGCCTTTCTTGTCCTGCCCCACTTCTCCACCCTCAAACCCTAAGTTAACCATTAGTTTACTTTCTGTGTTTATAGATTTGCCTATTTTGGACAGTTCATATAAGTGGTATATAATATTTGGTCTTTTGTGATTGGCTTCTTACCGTAATGTTTTCAGTCTTCCTCCATGTTATATCATGTATCAGAACTTCATTCCTTTATATCTGAATGATATTCCATTGTATGGACATACCACATTTTGTTTACCCATTCATTAGTTGGTAGACATTTGAGTTGTTTCCACTTTTTAACTATAATGAATAACATTTACAGAAACATTTATGTACACATTTTATGTGGACATATGTTTTTATTTCTTTATACTCCCGGGGAGTGGATTTTGTTTCAGATGGTAACTCTGTTTAATTATTTGAGGAACTGCCAGATTGTTTCCCAAAGTGGCTGCATCTGTTTGCATTTCCACCAGCAGTGTATGAGGGTTCCAATTTCTCCACATCCTTGCCAACACTTGTAATTATCTGACTTACTGATTATAGCCAGCCTAGTAGGTGTGAAGCGAAATCTCATTTGCATTTGCCTGATGATTAGTGATGTCTAGCATCTTTTTGTGTGCTTATTGGCCATTTGTATGTCTTCTGTGGAGAAATGTCTATTCAAACCCTTTGCCCGTTGATAAATTGGGTTGCTTCTTTATAATTGAGTTGTAATTTCTCTTTTGATTAATGTTTGCATGATATATCTCTTTCTACCCTTTTACTTTCCACTGCCTATATGGTTATATTTAAAGTGAGTTTCTTGTAGACAGTGTGTAGTTGGTTCCTGTTTTAATTCACTGTGCCAATTTCTGTCTTAATTTGGTATGTTGAAACTTTTCATTTATAATAATGATTAATATATGAGGGTTTCAGTCTATTTTATTATTTGTTTTTATTTTCTCTTTTTCCTGCCTTCCTGTGAGTTACATGAACATTTAAAAAAGTGTTTCTTTTGATTTATTTATAGTGTTTTTGAGTGTATCTCTGTATAGCTTCTTTAGTGCTTTCTCTCTTTACAGAAAAAGTTTGCAGACTCAAGTTCTAGACTTTAGGTCTTCAAGTGAGGGAGAAAATATTATGCAGATTAAATTGGAAAATATGTCATATCTATATCTGTTATATGGTGGATAGCACCAAAAATATAGGAAGTAGTCTTCCAGTATTTGAAAACTTATTATCTGATTCAGTCATCCTTGACAGGCAAGTGGAGTTTTAACATGAATCTTCATTATTTGTTTTTCTTTATTTTATCTTACTCATTAGCATAGATCCAACATTTGTTAGAACTGAGGTCATTCATCAATTGCAACCATAATTTAGCTGCTGATGTGAGTTGTCTGAAAAATCAACTAAAACATTCTGTGAGAATCAATTGACTGAGATTTATAATAAAGTACATTGTAGATTTTATTTGTGAAATTGTGCACTACACATCCTTCGTATCAGTAGTTTATAATAAATTATATGCCTATGTGTGTATATGATTCTGTCAGTATATGGACATGTGTGTGCACATGTTGTCACATTTTGCATATTGCCTCTCTCTCCTAAACACAGACCAGTTGTTAAATATTTAACAGCACACCACTGGGAGTATTACTATTACCTTGAAATTTTGAGTTAAAAGAACTCACAATTTTAGTTTAATAACTCTGATTTGAGCAATTGAACAAACTGAACTGATAACCAGCAAATGTGTCACCGGTACCTTACATTTTACAGTGTCATTGTCTTTATCTAGTGGTCAGAGCTGCCCGTGGAAGTCAGTTATCTCAGGTGGTCACCATGTAAGTGACTGTCATTCAATCCCGTAATTTCATGAGTGCAATATTTCTTCTTAGTGTGGAGGAACTTTACGGTGATAATCACTGGGAGAATGTTCACAATTAGGTAAAACATTCAGGAAAGAGTGCTCCCTCACTCTGTTAGCTTTTAGATTTTAAAAGATGGGGATAGTATCTCACCTCTGTTTCATGTCATGCTGGTATTGAAGAGAGCAGAAAGGAGATTATCTTTTGCTTGATACCTGAAGAATGGGGCAGAATATGTGCTTAATGTACATGTTTTAAGAGTAATCTGAAGCAGTGCAGCACAAAAATGGTCTATTATTTCAGGCCTAATATTTTTTAATATATATTTCTATTTGTGAAATATTATTCAAGGACATTGCCTTAAAATTATTCAGTATTAGACTGTCTTCTCTGAGTTAGTAGAGATCTTTTAAATTTCCTCTGCAGCACTGAACAATTGAAAATGTGTATAATATTCCTAACCTTTTTTGCAAGATTTTATTTTTCTGATATGTCATTGTACAATATTTAATTCTAAATTTATTTCAATTTCTCCCCCTTCAGTTTAATGAGTGGTGTTAAGAATAATGTTGGAAGAGGGATCAATGTTGCCTTGGCAAACGGTAAGAACAATTATTTTAGCCTATGGATGTAATCATTTTTCTGTCCTGAAGTAAAATGCAGTATCAGAGGATCAGGTTAGAAAGTGCTGCTCTTGATGATAAAGCCCTCTCTCCCATCCCTGCCCCACAAAAAATCTATAGGTGGAGACTTGGTGTCTAAGAATTTATAGTGTGTTGCTTGAAAGTATCCTAACTTGCTATGCAAGAACTTCCCATGAGATTGTCAGAAAACAAGCAGTCTAGCATCACATTGATAAAATCTTGCTTCGAATTTTGCAATCCTAACATAATAGGAAGATAGGTTGACAGGATTAAAGGTGTGTAAAATGACAAAGGATAGTGGACTATTAAATGGTGTAGGCGAAGGAACAAAGAATAAGAATTTATTGTAATTTTTCATTATCGGCCACATTCTTCTGATAGCTTCATTAGTGTGAATAAGTTCATTGCATCCTGAACATCTCAAATTTTCCTTCAAAATCAAATCTGAAAACCTGAAACCATGAAGTAAAGCCTAACTGCATATTGATCTTCTCTGTTCTGGTACAATAAGTATTCCATAAAGCTGTGTAGGATGGTTATAAGATATATAGGATGGTTAGAAACCACTGTAGTTTCATAGTGTAGAAAAATATGTTTTACTACTTTCACAACAAGAGGTAAATTTTTGTGTTTCTACTTTCTTCATTTCCTTAGGTAAAAGGTTCAGCATCTATTTGTCTATTTCATTAATAGCAAAAAATACATTTTATAGAGCAAATTAATGTAAATTTTATTGTAAAAACTGATTTAATGTAGAAAATGGCATCTGATTCAAGGAGATACTTCTTTTCTGTAAAAGGTTTACTTTTGAGTAATTTTAAACTAACAGAATATGGAAACAAGGATGACATATATCTAACTGAATTGGAATGGTCCACAGTCAGTAATAAACTTCTGTTTATCCTTTGGCTTAAAAGATTAATGAGAAAGTTGTATTAAAAAATTACTCTTTAAAAATATATTTCAGGTGTGTATGATTCAGATTTTAAGTTGTTCTCAAAGTAATTCCTTCTCTGCTAGTGAATTCACATCAATCATTGGATAAGATTATTGGTTTTACAGTGTATGATGTATTTCAGATGCATAATTTGATATGAATTTAATCTCTTTTAGGAAAAACAGGAGAAGTATTAGACACTAAATATTTTGACATGTGGGGAGGAGGTAAGTGTAAATAACATATGACTGTGTGTTCTTTTGCTGGCACTGACTTAATCACCTCAATACAATGTAGTCCATTAATGAGAGAATGATGATGCTATTTGTGTTAGTTCATTTTGTTTCCCTTACTTTCTGTTCACTAAGTGTCTGGCTGTATTTAAGTTATCATTCATGTTTTATATACTTTGTTCTTCTTAGAAGAAAATTTTTGTGGTGTGTAATTGAAGACAGTAATATCAAAATTGAGATTTAAAAAAAAAATTCATCTTGTTTTCTACAGGACAACCAATTCAAAAGTTTGGGGCTCCTTTAGGTTTCTGTCTAAAATTAAAAAAAACAACAACAACAACAAAAAAACAGAATAACCAATGTAAGCATTCTTAAGTGATGGGAATTTGTTTTTTTACATGTGATTTTTCAGTCTTAAAAATATCATAACTAGGAGCATTAGAAAGACAAGATAAACTATCAGTTTTAGAAAAGCAATCCTATTATTCATCACAGTTCTACCCTCTGACTTGTGGCTAATTTTTTAGGTAGATGAATATTTGAGGGAAGAAATATAATTTTCTTTCTTGTTGACTGGATGTAAAGCAATCCACAGATATTTTCCCTTTCCATATTTGGAAGTCCCACAAGGAGTGGGAAGAAGTTACCAGCATGCAGAGGCAAGGGACTGGCACCCCAAAGAAGATCGCTGCCCAGAAGGATGGGTTTTTTTCCTCAAGTTTGAAGGGAGGCCAACACTGGTTTATCTTTCAATTCTGTAATTTGGGAGATTTATCAGTATGAGGATCTCCTCAGCACCTCCCCATTCCTTTTATATATTCCCTAGAAGCCAACAGCTATTAGGCTTCCTGAAATTCATGTTAAGAGTTCTCAGATAATTTAGCTTTTCTAACATATCTTCAGCTTGTAATAAGATCCATGTAGCCGGATGCGGTGACTTACGCCTGTAATCCCAGCACTTTGGGAGGCTGAGGTAGGCAGATCACCAGGTCAGGAGATGGAGACCATCCTGGCTAACATGATGAAACTCCGTCTCTGCTAAAAATACAAAAATTAGCCAGGTGTGGTGGCATGCACCTGTAGTTCCAGCTACTTGGGAGGCTGAAGCAGGAGAATCGCTTGAACCAAGGAGGGAGAAGTTGCGGTGAGCCGAGATCATGCCACTGCACTCCAGCCTGGGTGACAGAGTGAGACTCCATCTCAAAAAAAAAAGATGCCGTATATTATTTTGTTCTTAAATAAGGTTAGGACAACATTGCATAGCTGTCAAAGCTGTATAAACTTAAAATGTGACCATCAATTTTAGATTCTAAAGGCATAAATTGGTCCTGCCAAAATTTGTTGATAGAAACAGTCTTAGAAAGCTGTTGTTGAAATCAGTCATGTGACCAGGAGCTCTGGTATTCCCTACTTCCCTTGTCACAGGTAGATTAATTACCGCTAGAAGCATTTTTCTAGTTAGGAAATTGTTGCAGTTTATTGCCACCTTTGCATTTCAGTGGAAGTAATTTGTTAGCTGCCCTGTTATATCTTTTTGAATTGAAAATGCTATTATGAAATATAATCAGTTATCAAAAATCTTTGGAATCTTTGCTGTGGAAAGAAACTGAGTACATTTGAAGTAACCCAGTTTTGGAGTTGAATTAGACTTCAGAGCTATAAGGAATCCTGACACTGTAAAGAGTTCAAGATGTTCAAGATGTTCAGAATATGTGGCATCAACAGTTTATAGTCACTGAAGTGGTTTATTTTAGAGTCCTGTGGATTTTGATTCAGTAGATAAAATGAGTAGTGACTGTAATATTTGCTACAATTAGTTTGGCTTTTAGTGATTACCTAACCTATATTCCTTCTCCCAGTTTATAGCAAGTGATATACCTAAAATATCCTTTAAATCTGTGCGTATATGTATTTCTAGATTTTCTAAAAGTTACAGATATCGTTGAGAATCGGAGAAAAGCTGTGTATCCTCTTTCTAGTAAAGTACCTATACAAACAGTGTTATGCTTTTTTTCGTTTTGGGTGTGTTTTTTTGTTTTGTTTTGTTTTGTTTTGAGACAGGGTCTTGCTGTGTCACCCAGACTGGAGTGCAGTGGTGTGATCTCAGCTCACTGCAACCTCTACCTCTTGACCTCAAAGCAGTCCTCCTGCCTCAGCTTCCTGAGTAGCTAGGACTACAGGCATATGCCACTAAGCTCGGCTGATTTTTAAATGTTTTTGTTGAGATGAGGTCTCACTATATTGCCCAGGCCGGTTTCAAGCTTCTGGGCTCAAGCGAGCCCCAGCCCTGACCTCCCAAGGTGCTGGGATTACAGATGTGATTCACTGTGCTCAGCCCATACAAACAATTTTACGTACACTTAGGGAGTCCAGAAACCTCCCATGCGTAAACTCCTTAAGTTTATGCATGGACCCAGAATAAGGTTTTTCAGGATCTCAATTGTTCAAATCTGAGAGATCTCTAAATTTCTTACTTCATAAGTCATGCTTTAACATGACTTTGCTATGGTATTTTTCACTTAGCCCCAGGAATATCAGTACAAAAGACACAGGATAAATCAGGAATGGGAAATTGTAAGTTGATGCTGGGATTATATTAAGGGACAAACTTAACAGTTTTTAAACGTTTAATAAGATTTGTCTGTCTTTTGGATTACATTGGAAATTATTGCTTTACAGATACTTCATGTTTTATAATATTACTTTTAGAGATTATCAAGATAGTTATTCAGTCATTTTTTAAAAATCTCAACCCTTTCTTTTTCTTCAGATGTGGCACCATTTATTGAGTTTCTGAAGGCCATACAAGATGGAACAATAGTTTTAATGGGAACATATGATGATGGAGCAACCAAGTATGTAAACTTGAAACTTTACAGAACTTTTTGGAGCTATAATTTGTAATTATGAAAGCAATACATTTTCATAAAAAAAAAATCTGTAACATAAAGCAAAGTAATCAAACTACCAGATAAACACAACTTAACAATTTTTTTTTTTTTACTTTGCCTCCTTCCTGGTTTTCTATGTAAATGTTTATCACACATATATTGTCATGAAATTAGAATCACATCGTATATAACATTTTTTATGCTTTCATGTTCTGCTTTTTAACATTCTAAAATTGTTTTTCCTGGCATTAATATTCTTCAGTAGCATTTTTATGGTTCATCAGCAGTTGTGGGCTCACCTTTATTTCAAAGTTTCCCTATTAGTATGTCATTAGGGTAAATTTCAAGAAATTGAGCTAATTGTCAAAGATACAAGTGTACTGTATTTTAAATAAGTTTAATAAATAATACTTTTTTAACTTTTTCTTAAAATAGTATATGTTGTAAAAATGTGGAAAATACAGAAAAGCGCAAAGAGACCAAGTTCCAGTCCATCTCACTACCCACTGTAAACATTGATGATATTTTAGTTTCCATTCCAGATGACTTAACACACATGTTTTTTTGGCTTTAACTATTTAGAATGCTAGTATTTATAGCACATCTCTTCACTTACGTGGTGAATATTTCCCCTTATTAGTAAATATTCTTTATAAAAAATGTTTATGCCTGCCTAGTCTGGTTTTTAAAATGTCATGATTTATAACCTGTTTAATGGGCTGCCTATTGCTGGACCCAGGCTAGTTCCAATTTTCATACTTAGCAAAATATACTGTCTTAGAAATGTTTAAACAGTCCATATCTATTTCTTTAAGATAGACTTTTTTTTTAAGTAGAAATGATCAATTAAATGATGTGCAACATGTTTTTAAAAATGGATTTTTAAAAATTTTTTACCAATTTTATATTTTTCTCAGAAGTTCCATGGCACCGATTGTTAACTTTTTTAAGTTTCTATTTTAAGAGTTTGAAACGGTATCTTAGTCTACTATGCCTTTATTATTGAGATTGGATTTTTTTCGCAAGTTTTTTTTTTTTTTTTTTTTTACCCTTTTATGTAATTGTCTTTTGACCATTCAACTTGGCCTATATTGACTTGTAAGACTCCTTTATGTTTTAAGGATATTAACCATTTCTAATGTAAAAAGAAATATATTTATTGTACATTATTTGCTTTTAATTGTGTTAGTGTAGGGTGCCTTTTGAATTTTAGAATTTTAGACTCCTGCCTATATAGTCTATGTATTTTTCTATCAGTCTGATCTACTTGTATACTTGAGAAGTACTTTTCCACCTCCAGATTAGATATTTAGTAGATTTTTCTCTTCCAATGATTTTACTGTTTTCATGTATTTTTAAAAACCCATTTGTAATTTCCCCATGGCATACAATGCCTGTGTTCTTATGTAGATGTGGCTTTATCTCCGGAATTTCTGTTCTGTTCCATTCACTTGACCTATTTATCTCTGTTCCAAAAAGACACTATTTCAATTATTTTAAAATTGTTTTATAAAAGTAATTGGACTTCATGCCTCTCTGGTTGAGATTAAATCCCCTTTAATGTTCTTCTTTCTAGAAAAAAATAATTTTTTCTCTGACTTTTCTTAAGACGACTTATCAAGGATAAAAAACATCCTTTATAGATTTTAATTGACAGAACCTTAATACGACAAGATTTATACAGAAATGTGCCATGTCTTTTTAGTGTATTGATTTTTATAAATGTATTATTTTATAGCTACATTATCACAGATTTACATGAAGAAAACAGTGCTACTTTATAAATGGTTGTAAGCTGAAGTAATTTCATTGACATTGTACATTTTATCGGGTTCAACTAAGAATATATTAAATCCATAAATTGAAGGTTAACATAAAACTTGCCTATTCAAGCATTTTCATCCATTTAAATAGAATGAAACACGATGTAATTAGGCTCTCATCAGAAAACAGGTAGCTGTTTGCTTTTGCTGAGAGAATAGGCTATTACGTGTAAAATTTGAAGTTTTAACATTAAAAAGAAAACACCCCACTTTTCTGAATTGATAAACATGACCTCCTTTTTTCACCACATTATTTTGTTATACCTGAGGGGAATCAGAATTGCTCCCCTTAATCTGCTAATATGCCAACAATAAATTGTAACTACAACTAAGAACTAGGGGAGGAATGATGTTTACTTTTTAACTGCTATTTTTTTGGTGCCCATTAAATGCACCAAAAGCAGCTTTGGAAGAGAGAGTTCAACCTCTAGGGCAAAAGGAAAAATCTAAACTTTAATTTCTTTACATTTGGTCACCTGGTCAATATATGATTCATCTTCTGTGAATTTAAATGAATTGAGTTGTATGAATTTGGGGCACATGAATTTATATTTCAAATATTTCCTTTTTCTAAATACTGGTAAAAGAAATTGTAAGCATCATATCTTTTATACTGAAATGGACAACATCCTTATGAAAAGCAATCTACATCTATTATATATATACACCTTTTATCTTGGCAAGTGTCTGATTGTGGCACATTTGCAGTGATTTACCAGTTGTGTTATATACCCTCTCTTACATATGAATAGAAGTCTTGCTTACTGCTGCTGATGTGTTATGGCTTTTCCTTATTTAAGGCCATTGAATTTTACCTCATTTTCTTCCACTTATACTCAAGAAAGTTAAGTGTGTAAACTGAATGTCCCAGCTCTGTCCAAGAGAGAAAGTTGGGTGGCATGTTGACCAGAGAAAGCAGTACCCAGCTCTCTCTCTCTCGTCGTCTCTGATCCTAGTTTCTTTTAATCATGATGAGCCCATTTTGCAGTGCTGTGAACTTCAGCAGATTGACTAGGACTAATCTTCATCACATTATTTCCCAGAGTGTGTTTGGTAGAACCCCAGTCCTTTACAAGTACATGTAATGGTCAAAGAAGTTTGAGGATGGTGCCTTATATTGTACCCCTTTTGGGGATTCACAGTGAATGGCTCTGAAGTTCTGCCCTAAAGAAACTTCTTTGCCTTTGTTAATCATGGTGTTTCTTGATTCTATGAAGCCCATTTAAAAAACAAGATAGAGAAAAACTTACATCTAAGAAAACTTACACTTCAGGGAGTACAGTTATCTAATGATGCCTACTTTCCACCCCGACCCTTACTAAAATAAGTTGTTCTTTGTTTGTAAAGGAGATAATGGTTTGAATGAGCAAGCTAAACTTGCCAATTATATTCTTCCTTTTGGAGAGAATACTCTATGACATGTTATGCCTAAGTGAAGGGCTTCAATATGAATGTCTTGGAGTAAGAAGGGATCTTAAAGGTCACCTAAAGCAGCATTGGAGCCTGGGCAAGATTCCCTTGTTCTCTATGAATACCTCTACTTAACCCCCTACCTACTTAATGTGTCAGTACCCTTTTATTTCTCCATTTGCAATAGATCAAAACAAAATATTCACAAGACAATGTTATGTTCTCAGAGTGGTTTCCCTCTAAATTCTGCCTGATGTTCTTTAGTTTGGATAGATGGAACAACAAAACAGTAAGTGTATTCCCCAAATCATTTGATACTTCAGGTATTTGAAGCTAACTGGTATTTTTCTTTTAGTTTTCTCTTCTTCTGCCTTAATACACAGGCTCTTTTAACTTTTTATCATGTATAGCTTCTAATTTGTTTCATCCTCCTGGCTGGATTTCTTAGGCATTCTCTAGTTGATTATTGTCTCTCTTAAAATGAATGCATCACATCAAACACAGGGTTCCAGATGTGGTCTGGCCAGTACAAGGTACAATGCAGATGCTAGCTTACCATGTTTTAGAGATTACATTTCTTTGAATATTCATGCAGACTAGAATTGTATTAGTTTTCTTTAAACAATCACATTACATTTTTGGCGCGTGAGTTTTTGGTCAAGTTAAATTCTCAGATCTTTTTATTTGATCTCAGGCTTTTTTTTTTTTTCCTAAACCACTGTCAAATCAGGTCTTTCTCTTCATTCAGAACTTGATTTTGTTTAATCTAAATGAAGGCCTTTATTTTCATTTATCCTTGTTAAATTTAATTTTGCTGATTTAGGCCCACTTGGTCTTGATTCTGACATTCGTCCTGCGAAGTTTCCATGATCCAGGCTTTGTACTCTCTCCAAAGTCATGCTTATGTCTAAATATAAGTCATTGATAAAAATGTTTACCAAGGGTGGTGTGCCACCCTGCTAGAGGCTTCCTCCAAGGGATGCATCTTTTAATCAACTGCAGAAACTACTTTTCAGACAGCTGCCAGTGTGCACTACCAGGAATACCATCCAGCTGCTATTTCATTATTTTATGCTTAGAGGTTATTTTCCGAGACTATCATATGCTCACTTGAAATTCATGGACTGTGATAATTACAATACCCTGATCTATTGCCTGAAAACCTCTTCAAAAGCTGAAATAGTTGAGATGACGTTAACTTGGCTTTACTTATTTCCCTCTCCTTCCCACTAGTTTCCCTTTGTTCCCCTTTCTTTCCTTACTGCTTTTTAATGCTCGCAGGATCTTCTTGTCATCCCTTCAAGGATTTTGTTAGGAATTCACATTCGTTTTATTGGACCATTATTTCTAAAATTTTCTTGCCTTTTTTGAAAACAGGGATATTTTGCTTTTAATGTCTTAGCATCTCTCATTTTCCATGATCCTTCTGAAATAACTGACACTACGTTGATGATTATTTCAACAAGTTCCTTTACAATCTAAAAGTGTGGAGCTGGGGAGGGGATTTACAGGACTGGAGGCTTAAATTTACTTTAGAGCACTTACATGGACTTCTTGAGCTACTATTCCCTTTTTATGTTGATCAAAGAATGTTTGCCTCCCTGGAAAAGATAGTCATGCTTTGATCTGATGGTATATCATTCTTGTGAAACAGTGAGTCCCTTTGTTATTCACACTTAGTAGCAGAGGCTGTTTCTGTGTGTTTTAATAATTTTATGAGTTTCATCTCATTCTGAGCACTACAGGTGTTCCTGGTGAGTAGTATTAAAAATGTTGTCAGTAGTAATGTGGTTTGCTTTGTATTTTTGCGCACTTCCTTTCTTAAGTTTGAGCCCATCATAAAACATTCCTTTATGGTAGCACTAATTTAGAAACTATGCTCCATTTTTTTCTGGGAGTGTTAACAATTATATAATGAAAATTACAGAGTTTTTCTGTTTGTTTTTAAAGAGTCATATTCCCTCATAGAAATTTCTAGTCTGAACTTTGTATAATATGTTCTCTTTAAAGTCTAGGCTGGGTCGCCATTTATGCCTTATATAGTTAGCATTTCTTACTCTTCAACGCCCTGAGGTAATATGGTGATTTTCTTCCAGAGTTTCTGACATTTCTCCTTCCCAGCTTGTTCTTCCCTATTAATCAGAATTGAGCCATTAATATTGTCCTTCTTGCTTTCTGTGCTTCCAGAAAGGCAACATTGGCTTGGTTTGATGGTGCAACTGTAGGACTGTCAGATGTGCCTCCTTTCCCAGCAAGGATTGAGGCAGAACCCACAGACTCCTGTGTCCAGTTCTCACTTCCTCCCTTTCTAGTTTAGATTGCCTCTGGGCAGCGTTAGATTGTCTTCTAGCAAAACCTGATACCGTTCTCAAACTCAGGGTGCTCCTATGTGAAATAAAAAGCTTGTATCTCCAGCCTTTATGCTATATAAAAATATATTTGCTGCCCTGACTTTTTTTAAAAAGGGGCATTTTGACATTTCCTGTCTATTCAGTTAAACACTGGCTATGTTACATGATTGTAAACTTTTGAAATGTAAAAGTTTTTTTACTTAAATAGAAGATATCTAAAAATAATAATAAAATTATCCACCAAATTCTATATAGGCAGATCAGAAAGTGTTCGAAGTCATTGACAAAATCATCTTGTTGTAAAACTCTAATTAGATATACACAGGGCTATGTGTTAGACGTCCCCCAAATCACCCCCAGTTTTGACAGTTCTCCAGTAGGTCTCATGGCTGTGATTTGTTAAAGCAAAAATACACAAAGCAAAATCAGCAAAGGGAAAAGGTTCATGGGACAAAGTCTAGGGGGGAAAAAAGGAGCCTTCTCCCAAGTGGAGTCAAACAGGACATGCTTGCTTCTTCCAACAACCAGTTAGGACAACACATGGGAAATGTTGCCTGCAAGGAAGCTTATTAGGGACTCAGTGCCCAGGGATTTCATTAAGGGCTGGTCATGTAGGCACCCTCTGCCTAACCTGTTCCAAAATACCAGACTCTCAGAAAACAAGTGTTTAGCATAAATTGCATTGTTTTTGCCCACAGTTTAGACACAGTGAACCATTCTTAACAGTTTTGAAAATGATAGGAGCCCTCCCCAAATCCAAGTGGCCAGATGCCAGGCAGGGGTCAGTCTTGCCAGTAGACCTTTCTAAGCTCAGGCCTGCTATGTTAATGCGTATCTGCACAGGATCTCATTATCTTCTAATGGAAAAGCAAGGAAAAAGATGAATGGAGTTAAAACATAAAGCTCAGTCTTTACGTTTCTCCTAGATCTCTGGCTTGATTGTAAGTCAGCTTGGTTTATGTATACAGATCATAATGGTCACTTCTGAAATTCAGGAGTACAAAAATCAGAATGCCTGACTGCCCTTCAACATATTTCTTAGTTGTTGCAAAATTCTTGGATAAGATTTTACTTTTGGCAGGGGGCTAGACCTGCATTTGGATAACCTCCTACTTTGCAGGGAGTTTTTCCTGTATAAAGCAATCTCTTAACATTTGTGAACTTCACATTCATTATTTCAGCTGTTTATGAGCCACCCTAAAGGCCTGCGAGATATCGGTTATAATTTTTTTGAGATGTAAATGTGAATGGAACCGCAAAGGCTCTCTGCAGGAGGCAGTCCACTTAGCTGACCACTGAGCCCACTGCCTGTGCTCTGCACATTTCAGTACTATTTATTCTTGTTACAGCAGCAAAACTCATCGCTAGTGCTGATGATGCAAGTGTGGACTTCTATAAGATAATTAGAAATTGAACATTTGGATAAACTACACAAGTGGAATTTGACAGTCTTTTAGATCCATGGCATCCCAGTAGCATTTGGAAACAAGAAAACAAGGTTCAGGTGACAATTTGGGGGCATTTCCCTCTAGCACAAAGGTTGCTTATCAAGTGAGCAAACAAGTGAAAAGTGATGGATAATTCATGTAAGGATGAGCACAGGAAACAGCTGCAGAGGAACTGTGGAGGGAAAGCCAGCGCATGTGCACAGATTTCATGTGATGTCCTCACAGTCTTCACAGAGGCTGAGATTGGTTCTTCTGCACAGTCATTTCACTTCTTTTTAGTTCACTTGGCTATAAATGTACCACTTTATATAGGAAGTGAATCTGAAAGGCTAAATACTCCACAGGCTATGGCTTATTTTCTTGTTGATTCTAATGAACTTCCCCCAGGTGGACAGCAGTGCCCAGGCTGTGGCCAAAACAGCTCCACAGACCCCACAGATGTGGCTCACATCAATCACAAAAGTTTAATGATATATGTAGTTCTTTCCTGTTTTATGAAGCTTTTTTTAAGAAACCATGAGTATCCCTTTTTCTTTAGTTAAATGAGAACTGTTCTATGTAGTGTTTCTTTCACTAAGATATTAAAGGAGCTAACTGATACTAGCATGAGATGTTTGAAAGAACACTGTAGAATGAATAAGTACCTTCCTCACTGACTTTCCTGCTGTTTGAAAGTATAAAACTTGCCTTGCCTCAGGTTTTAGCAGAACAAACCTCTCTGAGTGACTTATTAGAGCTGTCTTTTGTGCAGTATATAGGACTCAGTGCAAAATAGGTGTACAGGTGGCCCTTAGTTAATTTCTTCTTCTTCTTCTTTTTTTTTTAAGCTCTCTAGCTAGCATTTATCTACTGAGTTTCTTTTCTCCTTAGAGATAATAAAGGAAAGAAAATCATTGAACATTAGGATGATCGCTTACACGAAATTTTTTAGTGACATCTTTCAATTAGTAGTTACCCTAGTGGTTGACTTTTGTCACTGCCCCTCCTGCTAGTAGACATTTAGCTGCTGTGTGGTTAATATTTTCATTTTTATTAAGTAACCACTTGGAAGTTATCACTGAAGTACAATTTATATCCCTGTTCTCAAAATTCATTTTATTTTAAATAAAACGTAGTGTTAGAAACATAGATTTTTGTCAACATTTACCTTTATTCTGGTCAAATGTAATTTACAGAGAGTTTAGTGGAGATTCAAAAAGATTATTAATTTTATAAAAATATTGATTGCTTAAGACCTTGGATTAGCCTGAGTAGACATCTACTAACTGTGGTATCCCTTATTTATTTGATGAGTATAATTTAAAAAGTTAAATGAAGGTGAATTGTTGTTGTGAAATAAAAACCTAACAGGTACTTTCTAATAGAATAAACTTAAAATTAATTGTTGGATTTCATGTCTTTTGTCACTAAAGAATTCAACCGGTAGAAATGTTACTCTGTGACAAAAAAGTTATTTTCCAAAATGTTCTGTTATTTAAAGTCTCATTTTGTCTCATGTTTTGTGTTAATATCCTAGTGAATCAGTATTAGCTTACAGTACCCTCTGTTTATTGTTGTATTCTTTCTCTCCCTCTTCAAGACTCAATGATGAGGCACGGCGGCTCATTGCTGAATTGGGTAGCACATCTATTACTAATCTTGGTTTTAGAGACAACTGGGTCTTCTGTGGTGGGAAGGGCATTAAGACAAAAAGCCCTTTTGAACAGGTTAGTGTCTTAGACTCTCAGAATTAACAAAAACAAATTCTATGAAATCTTACGGTACATATTCCCATCCCAGCTATTTGAAAATCAGATAAAGCAGATAGTAAATATGATCATATATTTGTCATAAATTCTTGGTAATCAGTTATTTGAAATAACCATCATACTTTTCAATTCAAAACTTAAAAATTCTGCATGGGAATATTTTTTCCTACAGGACAATGCGTTGGAATAGGATTACCTATCTTAAGCCTTTTAGGAAGCTTTAATTATTAAGGATTGTATTTGAGCTTTGGATTTTAGAATCAGTTAAGTTTGGAAATATTTTAGAACTTAGTATAATGTAAATGGTAGTTTTTGACTAGCAAATAATCCTTTAAAAGCATCTGCAATGTATTCTTTCAGCTGTTATTTGAAGGTCTGCCATGTATGTGATACAACCTGAGGGTCACTCATTTAATATCTTGACCAGTAATTTATATGAACTCATTGTTGACATGAGTATTACTGAAATGAGAATGTGTAAAATGTTACTGCAAATCAGCAGTTTACAAAGGTTTTTTAAACTGTGTATTATTACTGTGTTCCAATAGCACATAAAGAACAATAAGGATACAAACAAATATGAAGGATGGCCTGAAGTTGTAGAAATGGAAGGATGCATCCCCCAGAAGCAAGACTAATGGAAATGTGGAGAGAATTGAAGAAAGCGCACTTTCACTATTAATGGGAGAGCTATAAATGGCAGAGTGATGTGTAAATATTTTAAGAGCATGCAGCCATCTTGATGTGTGCATGAGTATTGTCTCTTTTGATATCAGGATTATTTATTGCTAACGTAAATAGATAGCATTGTAAATAGTCATCACAATGATTAAATCACTGAACCATGTCTCTGCACATTTCCCTAAAAGTACAATGTTTAGACTGCTGTGGTATTACATATTTTAAATTCTAAAAGCATACCCAATGTGTAACTGAACGGATCGTGAAAAAAATATTGATATATATACTAGTTGCTGTGAAAATATGGAATAATATGGATTTTAGGGTGGATACTTTATTTTCTTTTATACCTCTATATATTGCCTTGTGATGACATTATCTTTTAAATTAAAAAGAGATTTGGCTAGTTGTGTGTGTAATGTTACTTTACAGTCCGACTCTCCTGATGTACCTCTTTTCATGATCTTTTTCTTTCCTTCCCAAGAAACTGAGGAATGTTTAATATGAAAACACACATTGGATATGTGAAAAGCACAACAAAATTCTTAATGTACACAGTAAAAAAGTAAATATATAAATGTAGATGGCATTTAGGACCACAGCTTGCTGGATTTGTGTTAGCTATTGGAATAACTTGATTTTGTATAAGCTATTTAGAGTGAGGCTGGAGGTGGCAGTTTTACAGAACTGGAGAACCAGGCCAAGTCCCCTCCCCAACCTAATTAGGTCATTCAGGACAGCTAAGTCAGTATATTTAGAGCAATACTAGCATATGTTTTTCTTAATTGTTATCAGCATTGACCAAGTGGTTTGGAAGGAGGCATGCTTTAATATCACAATAATTTTAATTTGTAAACCAAGAAATTAATCCTGTGTTTATCTAACTTCATACTAGCAGTTATTGCCCGAAGCTATAGTGGCATATTTACAAAAGTTCTTATTACTGGGTGGACTGATAACATTTAAAAAATAATTGTGTTTGACCCCAAATGACTTTATACCCAATTCTACATAAAAATATAGATCTATCTTTTTTGTTACTTTCAGATGTTCACTAACTCAGTTTTTAAGCAGATGTTTTCAGGGCATTAAATATATGTTGTGTATGAAATAAACTGGAACATAAATTTAGTGATCAAACTGCCATTCATAATGTAAGGCAACACTTAAATTTCAAACCTAAATTTTAGATGGATTGTATAAAAAATCCTAAAAGCAGTATCTGTTATTTAGCTGTAAACCAAGTTGGAAGCTATTCAGATAATTTCTTAAATATTGATGAACTTTGGAGTACTGTTTCTTCCTTCAAACTGAATGTAATTCATGAATAAATGCACCTTATATGTTTAAACAATTTTTGTATACTTTTGGGATTTTTGGTGCTTATATGCTAAATCACATTCAGCATGTATATTTTGACTTTTAAAATACTTCTCTCAATTCTGTAAATTAAAAGAATAGTTATTTTACAGTTCTAGGGACTGTGAAATAAATGTCACTTTTTTTAAAATAATGAAAATAAATACTCTTGGTTTTGCTTTGTGAATTTTTTTTTGTATTATCTAGCAAAGTAATACACCTACAGAACTTCACAAAAACTCACACAAGGTTTTTCAAGTATTTATTATACTAACTTGGAAAAAAATTGTTGCTGTGGTTAAAAATAGTAATATCCAAATGTATCTTTACATGTAAGAAGTTAAGTAGATGGCAGGAAAAGCCCTTTTATTAAGACTGTAAAAGGATAGATTTTCCAGATATATAAAATGTCAAAAGAAGACAAAGATTGGTTATGTAACTGGTGTGGTTTCCTTTTGTCTCAGTTCAATCTTGTATAGATTGTGCCAACTTAACTTGAAAGCAATAACTTTATACTGCATTTTCAGATACCTCTTTAAAATCGGTTTTAGACATGAAACAGTGCTCATTTAATGTTAAGAATTTTCTTTGTTAAATTGACATTGACATAGTTTTGAAATGGTGCTTATGGGCTTATCAATGCATATTTTTTTTTTGTAATCCGATGCTGTCCCAGAATAAGTGTATTGTAATATGAATGTTAAAATTGAACAGAGAAAGCAGGAAAGTAAGTGGTATTTGGGAAATTAAAGAAAAATTGAACCAGAGTCTTTATATTCCTGAATTTAATTGGATTAATGTGAAATTTATCATTGTTCTTTCTATATTTGACTTGTTTTTAAGTGAATCAGCTATTTTATAATTTTATGATAGATCAAAGCTGAGTTCATTTAGCTTGTATTGCTCTTTATACTTTAAAAATTTACATAAATTATAAATAACCTGACCAACAAAGTTATAATTTCAGTTTGGTAAACAAACCGTCCCTTAATGGAATGCAAAATGTGCCGTGTTCAGTTAGTAGAGCAATTAAAAGTGGAAATTCATTTAGAATACTTTTTCAAAGGAATATGAGAGAAATTGCTTGTGTTGATTAGGGAGAAGATTTGCCACTTAAACCTCTTCAATTATTTCAGCCTCTTGTACAGCAATAAATCCCTGTAAATTTAGAGCTATAGAGTAACAAATTGCACCTTTGTATTCTTCAAAAGGATTCTCTCTTCAGAATGATTTTTCTACCACATACGTGATTTTTGATGATCACATGTTATAACTAGTTAATTTCTATTTCCCTCAAAACTCTCTCAATTTAAGCCTTTCTCTGCTTGCTCCTTATTGTGATCCTTTTTTTTTTTTTTTTTTTTTTGAGTTTCCAGTCAAAGGCTAGATGGAGTGAAAAGTAAGCAGGCTTGGCGAGGGAGTATCAGTCATTTGTTGCTAGACAGCATGAAGAGAGCATCAAAGGATGGTTCAGGCAGCATGGTAAAAGCCCTCCAGGGAATCTAAGAGGCTCTTCTGCCATCAGAACCTTCCTCCAGGCCAGTGAGGGAGCAGACACCTTGAGGGAAGCTATACTGGGGAAACACTTGGAACAGTTAGATATCTCTTCTATGAGCGGTCAGAAAGGAAAAGGGACTGGGAAGTTCTCAGGTTAAAGGCAGAAGAGGTGTTTCTCTTGGGCTTGTCCCATGGCAGTTTATAAGCAAAGTTAGCATGGGGAAGACATCTTCACAGTACAACTAGTTCATGGGTGCCACTTGTTGCCATTACTAACCTCACTGTTCAGCTCTGCATCTGTTGTGCCAAGCACTGGGGTGCATTTAATATTGAAAGAACAATCTGAAGCTAAATTGATAAAAGATACTTCGTTTAGTCAGGGAAAATTGACTTACAACCTGCAAGCTCATAAGGTTTCATATAGTCTGCCCATATTTCCTTCACTTGATAGCCAAAGAGAAAAAGGGCTGAAAAACCTTTAAAAGAGGAGAGAATTCTATAGCGGGGAGACAGTGTGGCATAGTGGTTAAGAGTGCAGACTTGCCTGAACATTCGTCTCTTCCACTGTGAACTACTTGAGGACTTTGAGGAAGTCAGTGTCCACCTGTAAAACGGGGATAATACCAGAATGTGGTGCCTACCAAAGTGCCTGGCACAAAGTACTCATTCAGTGCAACTGCTAATATTGCTGTTATTAACCATGTGTCTTACAGGCATCTTAGCCCAAAAGAAGATGTAACAAGTCAGCCTCTCTAGCTTTCCAGTCCCATCATACCCAGCCAGAAGGGAGCCATTAGATGACTTGAGCAGTAAGATCATGGGAGAGGATTCATTCATCTCTTCACCTGAGTTTCTCCTTGATCTCCAAACTTCTAACTTCATATTCTGCCTGCCTTTTCACTTATTACACATTGACACCAACTCCCCTTCATAGGTAGAATTCAGGCTTTTGTGTATCTCCAGGTAGCTAGCATTTTAAATGGTTAGTTTATCTCCATGTATTTTGGTGTCTCTTCAGGTAGCTAGCATTTTTAATGGTTCTACTTGATTGCTGGTCTGACGTTTAGGGGAAAGTATGTGACTTAAGCCAAAGAGGCTGGGAGCCCTTGCTGACCTCTTCTTGTGACAGCAGCAGCTGGTTGATGAGCCTCACTAGAGAGTGCAGACCTTGATCCCTGCTCCTAATGACCTCACCACCCCACTTCCCGCTGCAGGGCAGGGTGGCATCTGATCACAGTGGGGAAGGTGCTGGGGCTCAGCTGCCGCTCTCTGATGCAGAACAAACTCAACAGTGAGGCCAGTGACTTCCCCACCAAACTGTAGCCTCCTGTATCACCCGTGGAATAAGATGGCCGATTTGGACATCTACCTGTTGAAAAGAATTGCTCTGTTTTCCAGAAGTATATCCCTCAAAGCAGAGGAGACTAATGCTCACCCTTGGGAATCTTGTCTTTTAGCAAAAAGCCCAGTGTGAGCCTGTGAAGTTCTCTGATTGTAAAACTTCACATGAATTTTGCCTTTTTTATTATTATTATTTACAGATGTTGGTATTAACATGGAAATCTCAAATTATTTTAAATTTCAACTCCAAAAACTACTTAGCTTGTGTGTGCTCTGTTTTTTTGGAAGGCTGGTTACAGAAGTATTATGTGCTCTATTTGGCAAGAACAGAAAGGAATCCCAAGGAGAATGCATTGTGAGTCCAAGCTCTGAGAAGAGGAGAGATTTAAAAGCAAATGATGGTTGGGCTATGGTTAGAAATATGTTGGGTTAGTGAGTGGAGAAGGCAGTATTCCCTGAGAGTTGTGGTTTTCAGTGGGTAGAAGTAGGAGAGTCAATTGGTGAGGATTTCCTTAAGTGTAAGGAATGAGCAGGAACTGGGCCCTAAGTCCTGCCTCCTCCTTACCTGGGGAGTACAGCCTGCCCCAAATGGCTTCCTGTCTCCCTTAGGGAAAGGACTTAAGATTTAAGGTAAGTGAGCTCATCCCTACACTTCTATGGAAATCTGAAACTTTTGACCAAGAATGAGATTGACAGCTAATTCTTGTGGAACTGTTAAGACCTTACAAAAGGGTGTTAAAGTTATATTATGGAAATAGTCTGGATTAGGTTCCCTGTGGTTTATAAAGCACTGGGTGTGTTGGATATAGGCACAGTCACAGGAATTGTGGCAAGTGAAATTTTGAAATCATTCCTATATTTTAAAATATAGTTTCTCAAAAAATGATGAATTGGGCATTTGGGGAAAGCAAAACAACTTTAAGCCAGTGAAGGAAATAATTTCTCACACTGAGAACTGAAATGTATCTTTCAGTTTGCAAAGTTCCTGTACCCATTAAGTAGGTGACATGTTAGAGAGGATTTATCCCATTCACTTCTGCAGGTTTCCCATTTTGCTATTGTGTCCTGTGCTATTTCTTGTCTTGCATAGAGCCTTGTTTGCCAGGGAGTTTGAGATAAAACAATGACAGTGGATAGGACTAAGAGAAAGTAAGGATTATGTACTGGCAATACATAGGTAGTTATTGATTTCCATTTTGTATATCTACACCTTTCATTGGTTTCCAGAGAATTTGAGGTGTATTTAAATGTACTAGTATATTTGGTGATATTTCTCTCACCAAAGAGTAATTAGGGGCAACAAGGATCTGCACTTTCTTCTTGGTTAAACAGGGCCAAGTAAATGTGGGCCATGATCATGGGTATCAGGTGGTTACTAAAATGTAGAAGGAAAGGCTTCTTGGCCTCTGTGGAGTAGAGTTACCGTGATGGTTCTGAATGGCCATCTGACAGGGAAAAAGGCAGCCCTCAGCCACTGCCCTTTGTGCCTTTCCAATTCACATACACGAATCAGATGCTTTTACTTACTCTGCGAATTATAAAGTCACACATGAAACTTTAGTTTGTGTTGACTTGATTCTCCTTTATTACTTTACAAGAGAGGCCACTTTTGCTAGTATGATTTTGTTTCAAAAGGTTTTAATCTGGTGCAAACCACCTCTAGTGGTTTTCCTTTGGATATGAATGTAAACCATTACAAATAGTAAATTTTAATCCATCTTTTAAAAATAACACCTTATGTAACATTTGGCTGTAAGCACAACAATAAAAAGGATGTAAGTATTTATTTTATGTCACACTAAATTAGTTTGATCTTTCCCCCTAGTTATTTTCTTTTGGAATGGTTGTTAGATTCTTGCACAATCCAACTGTTAACCACACTGCAATCTAAAATAGAAGTCAGCGTAAGTCACTTTGGGCTTAGAAATCAAGAGGCAGTGTATTTTAATTTTATTTCATAGTAAATTCTAAGATCTCAGCTCTCCCATCACTTCGCTCCCTACTTTTCAACCAAGTTTATATAACCAAACCATGAAGAACATCCTGTAACTTTCATTACATTCATAAATCCCCTAAACTCTTTAAATGGCATATGTTTGTAAACACAGTCTGACAATTTTGATACTGTGAGAAGCGCAATAACAATGCAGTGGTTAAGGGCACAGACATTGAAGCCAGATCATTTTGTGTGACCTTGGGCTGGGAACTTACTGTGTGTCTCAGTTTCCTCAGCTGTAAAATGAAAACCACAATAATGTGCCTACTTTAAAAGGTTGTTGTGAAGATTGAATTTTTATATGTATCTCTCTATATATTTTTTATTTAGACTAATACGGGTACATACTAAGTGCTATGGAAGTATTTGCTAATATTATTTACTCTTTC